TAAATAAATAAAGTCTCTGATTATACACTCAGCTATTTACTTAGATTAAAATAACAGACTGCTGAAACCGACTACTTTGTGATACATGAAAAGTTATATGGTGCGCGAACGTCAGTGTCCTCAGTATTATTGGAACAGACATGTCCATTTGTTTGTAAGTTGTCTATGGTGTCTCCTGTCCTACAGGGATCACGGAGCCTACAAAGCCAAAACATTTACTCTCTGGCCCTTTACAGAAAGGTTTCCTGGCCCCTGGGCTGCACCCCACCCTCTGTGTGCCTCTCCAGGCTTCAGGCCACTGTCTCCGGGTGCAGCCTCAGGAACAGCTGTCAGTCTGGTGCCTGGAGTGGGGGTTCCGAGAGCCCACGCCTCCCACAAAGCAGGTTCCACCTACCCTGGGTGTTGGTGGGTCCAGCACTCCATGCCCCATAGCCTGTGAACAGAAGACCTGTGAATTAGGATCCTATGTGTCACACCAGCAACAGGTGCTTTGGAGTTGGCTTTGAAGAACCTAAAGGGATATCCTCAAAGGAGTTCAGTGCCAGCCTTACAAGAGGGCAGCATAACCACAACGCTGCCTCCCTAAGGGTCCTCTCACAGCTGGCTGATTGCATCATCACATTCCACCTGCCAGAGGTCAAAGCAGAAAGAGGGGTGGGGAAGGGGCCTTGAGCCAGCTCTGCCTGTCACTTGCCCAGGAACCTTGGTCTAAGCCTCAACCCACACCTGAGGATGACACAGGAAGAGCCACCAGCTAGCCCATCATTAGGACTCGGCTCCGTTCCCCTCCTTGTCTCACTAACTAAGCACCCATAAGTGCCCATCACTTGGACACAACTGTGCCACTCTAGGTCTCGCTTCCATATGGCTTTGAACCCTCCAATGCTCCGGGGCACCTTCAAGTCCCAGGGCCTCATCCTGGCCCCAAGAATCAGACTGTGCTCCCCTCTGGTCGCTCCTCTGTCCCTCCAGACCCCAATATAGCATCTGTCTGGCCCCTCTTCATCTCCATGAGCCTGCATGTGGCACAGAGCTGGCCACAGGCAGCTATTTACACCCGTCAAATGACTTCACCTTTATAAAGCAAGAATGTAACTGATCTCCCTTACCTGAGCAACCCAAACCACTAGCTGACTGCCTGCTGTGTGCTGACGCACAACAGGCACTGAGCACACATTAGCCAGCTTCACAGAATGCCGTTCAGAGCCCAGGGAGCTAAGGCTCTGGTTAGGGTCTCTGACCCAAAGTCACACTGAAGTTTGCCCTCCGCAAGGCACCCTCTCCCCACACCATGCAGCTTCCATAGCTGTGCAGAGAACGCAGAGTGCGGTTCTGACAGCACGTGACCAACTGCAGGGCACCGACTGCTTCACTCTGGGGCACATGCCACTCACATAACTTCATGACGCCCCTTGAGACAGGTACTGTTTTTCTTGTTGTAAAGGCTTGAGAAGCTAAGTCACTTGCCCAAGACCACGGAGCTAGGAAACGGTCAGGGAGCACTGTCAAACTCAGTGAGTCCTAGGAAGTAACTCCAGGTGTTACAGCTACAGGATGATTCAGGGAAGCTGCAGCATCTAACTGAGCCTGAAAGGTTTTTAGGGGGGGGGGGGCATCTCCAAGCCAAGGGCCTGTATGATACAGGATTACTGGCGGGAAAATCTGGCAGGAAGGCAAACAACAATGAGACCCAGTCAAGCTGAGGACCCCCGGACACTTCCGTGCACCTCAGAACCTCTCTGCTTCTGCAATTCCTGCGGCTTGGATCCTGCTCACGCTGCCCCCTTCCAAGACACTGTCTTCTCTAGCTGCCGCTCCCAAGACCAGGTCACCTGCTTCTCGAACCTCAGATACTTGGATAGGGATCTGCGCCTGGTCCAGCCCAACTGTTCCCAGTGGGCAAACTCGGCTCCAGTACCGAGCAGAGGCTTCCCAGGAGACTGGCCGGGGAGATAAAGGGCAGGTCCCCCTGCGACAGGCCCTGCAACCCGCACGGGGAGAGGGCACACGTCCTTTTCCCGCGGCCCTGGCACCTCCGGGCCACCGTAAGAGAGTCCCTGGAAGAGAGCCACCCATCCGCCGCCACCCGGGCCACATCAGGTTTCCAGCTCTGCCCAAGGAAATGCCCAGCATCTGACCCTCAGGTTCCGTCCGGGGCCGGCACGAGTCAGATCCACGGCTGAACCCGAGGCTGAGCCTCACAGAAGCCTCACCCGGTGCTGCCGCGCTACACCGCGGAGCTGGCAGGGAGGACGCCGACCCCGCGCCACCCGGGCGC